CTTAAACCCGTTTGATTTCTTCTGGGTTTAATTGCATGGTAAAAATAATAACAGCAGGAATTTCTTCCTTCTTTTTCTCTTTACTTTGCAGATATCAATGAGTGTCTCTTAGAACCCGGGAAATGTGCACCAGGCACCTGCCAGAACCTGGATGGGTCCTACCGATGCATTTGTCCACCTGGGTACAGTCTGCGGAACGACAAGTGTGAAGGTGAGAGGGCCCTTGGGGTTTGGAAAGAGCAGTGTGGGGTCACTGTTCTGGCCCTGCAGGTTTCCATGATGGTGTTGCTGTTTCGAAGCAACAAATCCAAAAGCAGAAGGTGTGAGTGAATTGGCCCAGGCTTAGAAGTAGAGACAAGACTTTCTTCTTGGGGGCTGTTCTCTGCTGAAGCTATTTTATACATATCACGTGGACTCGCTCCCAGTGTACTTTTTTATAGCTTGTCCAAAAACATGATCTCAGTTCCAGAATTCCTGCTCTACATGTTTGCAGACGCTGGTGTATTGCATCTAAAAGCAGCTTTCTGGTTCCGGTGGAAACATATAAAAATGGTCATCGTCACAATTAGTGCACGTGGCTGTGCTCTTCCGACCCGTGCAGTGGTGTTACCACCAGATGGTTCTCGGCCAATTTTATAGAATTCCTCTCATTTCATTCCATGGCATCTCAATGTCATTGCATTAAATGCATGTTAGTTGCCAGAACCTTCTATGTAGCCTTTGAACAGACCTGTAGCTAATCTATAGTGAGTGAGATTTCCTCCACTTTCTGTATTGCCAATGAAAAATACCCAATTTAAATTAGGCTCAAGTGGTAATTTTCTAAATGGAAACAGTTTATCAAAATAGGCCTAAGTGAAAATTATTAAAGTTATTGTTTTAAATGTATTAAGGATGGACCTCCTTCATTCTATGATGAACGCCCAGTATCCCTAACTGAACCAAGTTGGGATGCGTAGAGATAAAACCAACTTCCCAAACAGTCAAAAATGTGACCATTCTGGAATCTGTGTTCCTCTATAGGCTGTCATCTATAGGCTAATTCCTACCAGAAGATAAGGAATCATAAGTACAACAAAAATAAGCTTGGTACAAAAGTTGGTAGGGTGGGGTAGAGAGAGGAGTGTGGGCACAGAGAATGGACTGACTTGATTAGCTGCACCTGCTTCACCCATAAACCACAGGAAGCGTGCCGCATTTCCCAGTGGAGCGTAATAACTGATCAAGAGGCTGATTTGGCGTTGTACAGGAAGCAAATCACTTTACATTACACCTATGAAGCCCACTAATATGTGGCATTTGTAATAGTAAGTCAAGATAAATGGAATTAATTTCTTGACTGCCACTCAGTTGGACCTCTGGGGAACACAGTTGTGTAATGCGGAGACCTGGTGGAGTGGGTGCATGTGCACGTGAAACTAGAGTCCCAGGATGCAGGGGCTATTTCATGTTCCCTGGGGGTGCGGGGGGCAGGAACCTTCCCATAAAAAGTAGCCTGGCTGCACGTCGACTTAGTGAGCTTCTTCATTAAAATTCTTCCTGAAAGTCTGGGGCAATGATGGGTGAGTTGGTCAGAGGAGAATGTGAGTATCTTTCCATAAGCAAGACGATCGTGTAGCTTCCTGAACAAAGACAATTGTTTAAAGTGAAAAGAGTACTGATGATTAATAATCCATCCAGGTCAAGAGGCATAATCTGGGTGTTCTGAAAGATGAACTGTGACATGTGGTCACCCAAGCTCTTAACACATCACAGCCCAATCACCCTTTCCCAGCCCTTATTTTAAGCAGCTAAAATGTTCGAATATTCATAGACTTAAAGCAATGTGCCACCATTCTAAGGGCATCAAGTTCTCATTATCTGTATGATGGGGGGGGGGGGGGGAAGGCAACCTATACAAGGAAGATATGTTTGGGTTGTAATACAAATAATCCTGCAGGAGAGTTAGGAGCCTTGTCTTCTCTCATAGCGATAGTTTGCACTGCCTCATGTCATACTTATTTTCATGAGTAATAGAGCCCTTGCAAAATGCACACTTTCAGAGTAATAGCACAGGGTATTGAGAGATGCTTGGGTAGGGTGGAGGGACATCAGTTTGGTTCAGAGACACCCCGCCCCCCCGGCCCCCATCTCAGCGAGTGACTCATTGTCAGCCTAGGTACAATCTCAGTGCTTCCACCTACCATGAGAGGATGAGGTGGAATTCTAAAGTTCTGTGTCGTTCCTAATTTGAGGGGTATGCAATTACTCCGACCTCTGTCATTAGCCAAGCAATACCAAATAGGTAAGAGAGATTTCTCATAAACCCCCTCAAAAAACACCATGAGATTCCATGGCTGTACCAAGAAGTGTCAAAACTATCTTTTTAAAAAAACTCATCATGATGTAGTAGTCCTAGTCCACAGCACTGTGCCTGAGAGACATGCATATTTTCCCCTCACATGTGGAAGGGTTTGGGAGCTCCTTGCACTTGCACATTGGACGTGGGTATCTGATGGTGCCTCCGTTGTGATTTGACTTTGTTTGCCACCTGCCATTCCTTGCAGACATTGACGAGTGTGTCGAAGACCCAGAGATTTGTGCGCTGGGCACATGCAGTAACACTGAAGGCAGCTTCAAATGCCTCTGCCCAGAAGGGTTCTCCTTGTCTTCCACTGGACGGAGATGCCAAGGTAAGTGCCTCGGAAGGCTCTCGACTTCCCTTACTCTGTATTTATTTGTTGTGGTTTTGTTTGAAGACGGGGCTAAGCTCCGAGTCTTTGTGAAAGCGACGATGGCGAGGTCTCACTCACCCAGGGGCCTAATGATTTCCAGATGTCAGAGGTTCATTTGTCCTCTGAGTTGCAACCTTATCCATCAAGTTATACAACTTCCCTGGCACTTCACCCTCCTTCCCCAAGAACCCAAGTGCGGATAGGTCGGTTCGGTTATGGAGGGGCCGGTCCAGCGATGGATGGATTCTCTGTCTCTGGAGAGGATACCTGTATCAATAGGGCCCCAAACTTCCTGACAGAAAGGGGAAGATCCACTTGGCTGCCACAAGAAGATAGGAGCCATTGCTTACAAGCTTCCCAGGAAAACAGAAAAATAGACTGGGCCATATTGTTTTCAAGGATAATATTTGTGAGTTATAAGAATTTTCAGTGGTTTTTTATGTCCTTTTCTTTTAATGAACAAGTAGCCTGAACTTCAGCCTAGCACAGTGTCTGCTTCAGGCAGTGAAACCCAACACTGGCAGTGAGCTGCTTCCCGTGGGTGGACCTGCCCCTGTGGCTTTCTGAGACTGTAATGCTTGACAGGTGCAGAAAGCCCCTGGGTGCATCTGTTTCCTTAAGCAAACTAGGTTGAATGATTTCAGGGAAGCAAAAAGAATCACAAACATACATATGCCCCCATTTTCTTTTCTTTCTTTTTTTGGTTTGTGTTTCTCCATATTAACAAACACAAGGCAATGGACATCAAGGCAAAAAGCTCTAAAAAATTGAGCAAGCCATTGAATCTTCTGTAACCCACTGTCCTCATTTTAGGGAGCCTTGGTGGCACTGTGGAATAAGCATTTGGCTGCTAACGGCCAGGGCAGCTGCTCAGACTCACTACAGGAGAGAGATGAGGCTGTCAGCTCCCGTCAAGATTTACAGTGTTGGCAACCCTGTCTAGAGCAAGCTGTGAGTCAGAATCAACTTGATGGCAGCAGATTCGGCTTGGTTCTCATTTTAAATCATCATCCTAGGAATACTTACCCACCCAGTGCATTGTACTGGGCATGTGACTCATCTGTGCTGATTAGCAAGTCCTTGATAGATGCGGAATGTTTTTATTTCAAGTGCCCGACCAACTTTTACGCTTTTCAACGGGTTGTTTCTTTAACCAGGATTTAGAAGGAGGGAGGAGAGACTTAAGAATTGTCTGGTTAGTTTTCATCTCGAAGATGGCTAGCTATCAGAGGCCCAAGTGGTGTCCACTCCTGAAGGTGGGGTGGTGCATGCTTCCAACAGATCCCCTACCTGTGCAAGTTCAGGAGAGCCAGCCAGATAAACCCTAACTCCTTGTCTTTGTGTGCCTTTGGCTGGGCCTGAGTGTGGAGAGGAAGCAGGTGTGAATCTGCTGGAGTGGCAGGCCTGAGGAAGCGATGGGCTACTCAGTTGATTTACACCAGTGGGTCTGCTCAAGAGCCCGCTCACACTGCCCGGGAATGAGCCCAGCTGTGAGCAGCCTGGTCACAGGACTGGCTCTGGGAGGCAGAGCCCCAGACTGAGGAATGCAAGCAGGGGAAGTGACTTTTGTAGCGCTGATGAAATTTCAAAGGCCATTAAGGACACTCTGCAGATGATCAACAGACACCCCAGCGAGCCCCAGTTGGAGTGTGTGGGCAAGCACAGCTCTCTCTCTTGTTGGAAAGCACCTTAGAGCAACAACCATCCTAGAGAAGCACAGAGGCCTGGGGGCACCTCGGGTTACTGTTTGGCTGCCAATCCAAAGGCCTGTGGCTTGCTTCCACCAACTGTGCCACGGAAGAAAGGTGTGGCGGGCTGATACTGTAAAGACGATAATCTGGGAAGCCCCATGGGGTAGTACAACCCTGCCCAACAGATCGTCACGAATCAGAATCAACTCTGCTGTCACGGCTTTTGGTCTGGTCCCAAGAAGTATCACAAGCAAATAAAAATCTCCCCCAGGGCACAGATTTTGTTAGAACCTGGGAAATCCAGAGCTCGGGTTTCCTGGTAAAGTGGAACAATTAGGAGTCAGACACCCGGGTCAGAGAATTCTATGGAAGCACGGGTAGCATTTTTGAATGAACCCATGCCAAGCAACTATAGCAGTGGTGTCAACCTTCCTCATGCCGCGACACCTTTCATACACTTCCTCATGTGGTGGTGAATTCCCTCCACCATAAAATTATTTTTGTTGCTACTTCATCGCTGTCATTTTGCGACTGTTATGAATCAGGTGACCCCTGTGAAAGGGTCATTCGACCCCCAAAGGGGTTACAACCCAAGGTTGAGAACTGCTGAACTATGGGGATCAATTGCCCCAGCACCTGACGGCCACACAGGCAAATGAGCCACTCCAGCTTGTGGAGTTTAAGAAGGAAATGTGTCCCTTAGACTCACTCTACACTTCATATGTTCTAATCTCTATGTGATGCATTTTTTTTTTCTGTCCAAGAGAGTACAAAGGTTAGGGACATGGGTACCATTGTGGGTGGAGTGGAGTTGTCAATGAAGGGGCAAAGGTTGAGGATGTAAATAGATCAATATAAGAGCAGGCATGGGGGTTTGTTTTGGGGGGTTGTTTGTTTTTTAAGAAAACTTTGCAAATGGGAAGGTGAAGGAGAGAACCAAGTTTTACTCTATGTGCTGGGACACTTGAATGTGACTGACCACACTTGATAAATATGACAGAGAGAGAGATGTGTGAACTTCTTACTTTAATTCATGAGAATTTCCCCTCTGTAAGCACCAGCTGTTCCGTGGGAGAAAGATGGTATTAGAACGGGGAGCACTCCCGTCATCCCCCCAAAACAAAGTGCTCACTGCCATCGAGTTCAGTCCAACTCCCTGTGACCCTGCAGGACAGAGTAGAACGAGGCTTGTGGGTCTCTGAAACGGTAACTTTTCAGGGGGCTCATCAATGTTACCCGAAACACAGGAAGGCAGAGGCAGCGATGAAAGAGCCTTGGGAATGATTCTCTCTGTGAATGTTCCAATCCTGAGGTCACTGGTGTAGGTGCCCTTTTTTAAAGCGACAGGGTTTGATTTCAGGGTTCCCATCAGATTATTTTGCAAATTCTTTAAAAGGAGAAAGAGTAAGTCAGATTAGGATCTGCCCCATGGATGTGTCCGTCAGATCTCACTGCACAAGTTCCCTATGGTTCCCTTTAACGATCTTGGCTCGGTTCCTAGCAAGTCACTTAGGGAGGGTCGCAGCGGGCATGGGGGCAGAGCACAGCTGGCACTGTGGGCTGTTTGTTCCTCCGTCGCAGATGGCGAAGGTTTGTCTTGAACTTGTGTTGCAGACCTGCGAATGAGCTACTGCTATGCCAAGTTCGAAGGAGGAAAGTGTTCCTCCCCCAAATCCAGAAATCACTCCAAACAGGAATGCTGCTGTGCGCTGAAGGGAGAAGGTTGGGGAGACCCCTGTGAGCTGTGCCCCACGGAGCCCGATGGTATGTCTGTCGTCTGTCTTTCTCTTTGGGCAAGGACACCAGGAAGACCGTGGCCTGGAAGACGATGCACACTCAGAACACACCCCCGTTCTGTTGACACTGTCTGGACCCGTGGCGACCGTGTGTGTCAGAGTAGAATTGTGCTTCACGGGGTCCCAGGGGTTGGTTTGGGGGACTGTATTGCCAGGATTTACTCCCAAGTTGGCTCTGGCTGGGAAAACCATTTCCAGTCAGCCCTGTCAACGCCCCTCCCACTCCCCAGGCACTCCTAAAGATAGATGAGTTCAAGTCTAATCAAAATCTTCATTAAAATTCTTGTACCTCACGAAGCAGGGAGGTTGCTTTCTTAGGTTTTTTGTTGTTGAGCATTCATTGAGTACATATTAAACAGCAGGTGGCTCAGAAATATCTACTTTTCATTTCCTCCGCCTGCCCCTGTTCCTTGTTCAGTGGCCCAGCTTTTCTCTTCAGGTGGGGAATGGGTTTCCCTATATACCTGTTTATATAATTCCCTGGAGTGCAATGGCAGACGTCTTCTGAAGCCAGCAATCTTCTTCGAAAGTGAAAGGTAGCAAGTCGGTGCCCACAAAGAATGAGGCATTCGCTTTCTCTACCAAGTCTGCTGAGGAGGAATGATTTTCTGGGAAGGGGCTGCTCTGGTCTGTGGCCTCCGTGGCTTCGTTCTCGAAGCTGGTGTGGCCTTAAGGCTGACTGGTTCCATCTCACGGGAGAAAGGCAGCTGGAAGTCCCAGCCAGAATCACCAAGGCAGTAAAGAACAGGCCCTTCCGAAGCATGATGCTGGTGGTCGGTAGAGCGGAGGCGCTCAAGGAGTGCCGAGGTTTCCTTGCTAATAAGTATAGTGTGACTCAGGGGGCTTCCAAGCAGTAGACACAGCTGTGGAGGGTTTGTTCCCTTTTGCTGGGTCTGGGGTGTTCTTGCTCACCTTTTCTCAGCGTGTGCTGCCCCACAACGCTTGGGGCAGGCAGTCACCTATGAACAAGGGCATGTCTCTCCCACAGAAGCCTTCCGGCAGATCTGCCCCTACGGCAGTGGGATCATCGTGGGACCCGACGACTCAGCAGTTGGTGAGTAGCCTGTCCTTAGCATGTCTTCACGCTCTCCACCATCCTCCTCCTCCTCCCCCTCTTCTCTCGTTTTCATTTCACCACCACCCCTGTCTTGGAAAAGGAAGCGCGACTGGACTTTGACTTGTTCTTTGGATACCAGCTGTCTGATCATAATTTACCTTTGTAGGTGTGTCTATTTTCTTTTTTAAGGTACCCTTGTTATTCACTATGCTTTTTTTTGCTTTGCCTAAGACATGGATGAGTGCAAAGAACCCGATGTCTGTAAACATGGCCAGTGCATCAACACTGACGGCTCCTATCGCTGCGAGTGCCCCTTTGGTTACATCCTAGAAGGGAATGAGTGTGTGGGTGAGTAAACGTCTCTCTCTCCTGCTGGGAATTATAAGTTGGTAACTCATCTAGGTGGCATTTCACTGGGAGGTATATGCTAGGACAAAAGTGGGTCCACTTTTCAGGCAGCATTTAGTCAGCTATCTTAGCCGGGTCCTTTTCACGTACCAGGAACGGTGCTAGGCTCTGGGACTATAGCAGTAAATGAAGTAGACGTAGTTGCGTGGGATTTACAGTCTAACAGGGGAAGGTAAAATACTGGGCATATTTGAAGAAAGAGTAAAAAGGCAAATAGTTTCATGAAAATCTTTATGAAAGATTTTTAAAAGCTATTTAAGGCCATCATTATTCTCTTGGTATACACAATAAAATACATTTCTGGATTTTATTCCATGCAGTCATTTAAAGAATTATGTGCCTTGGGTAAATGATTCTTGCATTAACCCCCATATTAAAATGTAAAAAAATATTAAATAACAGCTCCTATGATCGACCCCCTAATCCATTTTAACTCTAATTGAACCCACTTGGATCATGTTTACATATCCATAGATCCCAAGGCAGTTCGATATAACTGAATTAATAATGGCACAAATTCCGAGAGTCTCCATTTGTGGAAAGTATTCTTTCCATGAGACGTAAGCACTGGCTACGTGTGGGGGAGTGTAAGCAAGTCCTTTCCCTGTTCTAGACCAGCAGATGCAGGCAGACTACGTTATTTCCAATTACTACCCTTGCCGCTTTAAAAAAAGCCAGGGTGCTGCAATTTTTATTAACTCGAAGGAGGGGTGATACTCTTGACAAATACAGTGTGACAGTAAAAGTTAAGGAAGGAAGCCAACGCTTTCTCTTTGCCCTGTCAGTCAGTGCTCCCAGTACCCTGCCTTCACTGTCTGACTTCAGAAGCCCCAATCTAGAATGGAACCCTGGATAATAGTCCATTACTCTTCTGTCCCCCGGACAGCTAAAATAAGAATGTTATTTCCTTTCCCAAGGGAAAATATTCTCCCCAAGGGATGGGCCTGACTAGGGACTTGGATTATTCTAAGTGGGTGTGTTAGGAGGCAGATAGACTTTGTACCCTAAACATATTTCTTTCTAGCCTCTCTTCTGCCTGATGAAAACCATATGGTTTTTAACAGAACCAACAAAATCTGCTTGAATCTTGATTCTATCCAGTGTATTAATTTTTGTTTAACCTCTGGGCTCTTGTTTTGTGAAAGTTTAGTCTTCTATTTTATATCTGGCAAGAATCCATCGTATATACAGCTTCTTGGAGCGTGATGTAATGTAAGGCCAAACTGGATATGTATTTCTAGCTTTAAATAAGCGAAAACTCTTGACTGGTAAGAGGAGACTTGCCTTAACGCTTAGACCATTTATCCCCTATGAACTATTACTTCTCTGTGGGGAACGCCTGGACACGAGCACTGCATATAGGCTAGAAATCCAGGGGCGTTCAAGGTCAATGCTGCTGGTATCCTGGAGCAAGTCAAGTCGTGCCCCCAGAAGTCTGTGATACTAAGGCATGGGCACTCATTTCTTGGCAGGGCAGAATGAGAACCGTGTCCTCTGAGAGAAGGAAGGATTTACCTAAGTCCAAGTCCGTTTTACCCCAGTTCACCATCTGTAAATCCGCCCTTGCTCACCTGCAGATACTGATGAATGCTCCGTGGGCAACCCTTGTGGAAACGGAACCTGCAAGAATGTGATCGGAGGCTTTGAATGCACCTGCGAGGAAGGGTTTGAGCCAGGTCCAATGATGACTTGTGAAGGTGAGCCCGCAAGCTCGGAATACTTGTTCACGTGTTCTGATTGTGGGGACACGAGCTGGCTGACTCCAGTTCTTATTTTGGTTACCACGCTGGGCGTATAGATGAGAAACCACTGGGTCTGATAGGCCCGCCTGTTATTTCTCTTCTGAGCAGTCCTCTCTTCAGCGAGTGCACAAGGGAGATGTGGGAGGCTCACGGTACAAGTTACACTGTACGATCTTACACAAAGCTCGTTGGTGTCTCCCAACTACTTACGTTTGTATACAACTTCTTATTTATGTTCTTCTTACGGTTTAGTTTCACTCTTTTTCTTCTCTTTTGGTTTGCTTATCACCTCCCATGCTCCCTGCCATCCTCTCTCTTTTCTTTTTTTCTTATGGGTATGACTGCACACTGGGATGACCTTGGGCAGCCCCCTGGGAGCAATCACAGCAAAAAAGGTTACATCTTGAGGTATCTATAAACATTTGAGGTCTGTGCCGCGTGCCAGAACCAGACTCACTGCCATCGAGTCGATGCCGACTCTTAGTGACCCTATACAACAAGAGAGAACTGTTTGTGAGTTCCTGAGACGATAACTCTTTACAGACATAGAAAGCCTCGTCTTTCTCCCACAGATCCAGCTGGTGGTGTTGAACTGCAGCCCTTGCAGATCGCAGCCCAATGTGGAACCACCACACCACCAGGGCTCCTTAGGTCTCATAGGATGTGTGGGAAGAAAGGAAGGAGCGGGGTTGCAGGCACAGTGGTGTGTACGGGATCGTCCCTAGAAGTGCAGCATCAGCATCACCTGGGAAATTGTTAGAACTGCACCTTTTCAGGCCCCATCCCAGAATTCCTGAATTAGAAATGATGAAATTAGAGCTCAGCAATTTGGTTTAATCTGCTTCCCAGGTGATTTGGAAGCACTTTCAAGGCGATACCCAGTGAGCTAAAGGACAAAGGAAGGGAGGTGAAGGAAGGTGGTTGTATCAAAGGGAGCTCTTTATGAGTGAGACCGTGACTCCCCGGTTTCAGTGTTGCTGGTGAGTCTCCAAAGGCGATGATGGGTTTGTGACCCAGGGTCCCCCTGATGCGCTCAGTGAACAGAGTCACCTCACGGCCTTGGGGAGCAGCATGAGAATGGGGATGGTCCATTTCAAGCTTGCTTTTCCAAAGCACAGTCTGCTGACTCCTGGCTATGCAATCTCCAAAAATAGTTTTCATCCGTGAATGGTGAGGTTATTTCCACCTACTGAAAGCTAGAACTGGCGATCTATGTGAACTAAGTAGCCCTCTAAGTGTAAAACGATCCAGAAACATTTAGTTGGAGAGAGGAATCATTGTTATTTTATAGGAGCCTCTTTCACACGCTGGGGATGTGGGTGACGGGGAGTGGTGGTCAACAATGCTTTTGATGCCTCGTGTTCTGATGGCGGTTGATGTGGCAGCCGCTTAGAGTAACTGCGGTAAAATTCGAGCTAGTTCCATGTGACTTTCCCCACACCCACTACAGCTCTCAGGTGGATTCAACGTAGTGGGAGGGTGGAGAAGATAGGCTCATCCCCCTCCCTGCAAGTGGCTAGTGTGTTCGAACCACATGGAGAGCAGTCCCCTGCTTGCCTGCTGTTGCCACCTTTGACGTTAGGGCGGTGCAAATGGTCCTTTGAAGCTCCCAACCAGAATTTCAGAAAAGTGTCCTATATGTAGGGCGACTTTCAATGTGATAGTCACCTCAATAAGAATCCGTGCTGACCCCAGGACAGCAAGCACGAATAGGCTTTGGGCAAGACCAGGCTGTGTGGGTGTCCCGTGCATACCCCTTCTAAAGTAGCCAACTCAGTGAATAATCCCCATCAAAATCAGAAACTGCTTGGATCGTCCATGATTTTTTGCTTTTATAAATTTATATGTAACATATGATTCCATAGTTCAATCACGTCATGCGGAATTGTACAACTGCTACCACATTCAGTTTCCAAACCTTTTTTTTCCCCTACATCCATGTTTTTAACAATTATTTCAACATTGGTAAAAGTCGGGTCCTTCTATTGTTGACACTCATGTTCCTTTTCTTTCCCCTCCTGTCATTCCCTACAGATGTAAATGAGTGTGCCCAGAATCCTCTGCTCTGTGCCTTCCGATGTGTCAACACTTATGGGTCATATGAGTGCAAGTGTCCTGCCGGGTATGTTCTGAGAGAAGACAGGAGGATGTGCAAAGGTGAGTGAGACAGCCACATTCCAGGGCATCGGAGTCAGGAAACCTTAACTCTTTCTTTGTCAGGGAGGACTCCCCACCCCTACTCAGCTTTTATTAGTGCAGAAAAAGTGGAGATTGGGACATGATCCTGTTGTCCCTGGATTACATGAGGTTGTCACTGCTAACTTCCCCTCTAAAGTGAAGCCTGGAGTAGCATTTTTATTACGTCACTGTGTATTCCATGGGTACCACGTGACAGGCATTCTGCTAAGATGCGTATATATGAAGAGCTTCCATATTCAGGAAGCTCAAGGTGAAATGGTTGAGACAGATGTAAATAAATAACCATGGTGTGATAAATGCTATGATAATTATATGGACAATGTGCTCTGAGGAGGATATAAGCATTAGCAAGAATTATCTATCACTAAGGGATGTTCTATTTCAAACCTGGAATAGCACAGAAGATCCACTTTAGTTACACACCTTGCATGAGAGATGCCGACTGATCCCTTGCAATTTCCAAAACACTGGATGAGGCGCCACTACACAAACTTGGGGAAGTCCCCGAACTCACCTTCAAGAGCTCTGATTTGCTTCTCCCGGGTCTTACACAAGGTCAGCAGACCCCTGTTCTCTCAAGACGACTTAAATGCAACGTTGCTTGAAGGGGGAAGACTTCCTAAGAGAGAGCTTCTCATCACACACAGGATCAAGTCCAAATTTCTCAGCTCCCAACATTGTCAAAGAAAAAGAAAAATGCAATAGGAGGAAGTACAGAATGAGGAAGACCTACCCCACCCCAGAAAAAAAGAAATTAAAGAGGAGAAAAGACGAAGACCCAGTAGAGAATAAATCATCCACAGATGTTTGTCCATTTATCAAAAAATATAAATAAAAGTTGGCATTATATGATGAGCATTCTAATATTAAATCATATCCATGAATACTCTATTGGAATATTATATTGTATTACTAATGTGCAATGGAAGCTTTTATTATAATTGTTATGATTATAATCAAGATTATATACTATGTTATGAAAGCTATCTGTAACTTTTTTCATTTAATTCATCAAAAAGTGTGAGCAGTTATACTCACCTCTCTTGAACTGGTTTTCAGAGAGAAGGTAATGTTGATCCAGGCCAAAGGTGATTACACGACACCTTTCTGTTCTCTGGAGGTCAGCATCCAAAAATGATAAAGGAAATAAAGCCACAGGCAAAATAACATAACCGACTTGATACCGCCGCTTGCTTCAAAGACAGGTCACTAATGCAACTTCTTTGACCAGTGTGTGTGATTGGGCCTCCTTCACAGATGAGAATGAGTGTGAAAATGGGAAGCACGACTGTGCGGAGAAGCAGATGGAATGCAAGAACCTCATTGGCACGTACATGTGCATCTGTACTCCCGGCTATCGGCGGACACCGGACGGGGAGGGGTGTGTGGGTAAGTGAATCCCTGACAGAGGAGCTTCGAGTGACTTTGAAGTGACAAAGGACCGGGAGATATTGAGCTCTGAGTCCTGGGAGCCGCTGTTGCCCTGGCGAGAGCCGTTTTGGCTTCATGGGTAGCGGGGAAGAGGAGGGTGATGTTGGCTGAACGATGTCAATAGATGAGCTATTCACAGACTCAATGCTACAAAAGGAAAGACGGGAGGGAGAGGGAGGGAGGGAAAGAGAGAGGAAAGGAGAAAGAAGGGGGCCAGGAAAATAAGCTACCCTTTATCCTTCTGCACAAGTACACACCTGACTCCTCTTGGTTTGGGTGCTTGAATTAAACTGAACAGATGAGAACGAATGCCAGACCAAGCCCGGAATCTGTGAGAATGGGCGCTGCCTCAACACCCCCGGGAGCTACACCTGTGAGTGCAATGACGGGTTTACCGCGAGCCCCACCCAGGATGAGTGTCTTGGTGAGTACTGTCACGGGGTGTTTGTGTCACCTCGGGCTCCCCATGGGGTGCTCTAAATCCATATCTCCCTTTGAAATCGTAGAACATGTCAGAATTCGAGAAAAGGTTAAAGATGTTCATGTTTTGGAGCTGACTCTTGGGCGCTCAGACTGTCCATTGGGTTTAGCACCACCCTGCAGCTAAATTCCTCCCTCCCTCATTGTATCCTTGGATTGCTCGTTTGGGATGTCTTTCTTGGATGCCTTTCTAAGCCCTTGGTGATCGGGATCCGTTTCCTTACTTTTCTCTGCCACCCTCTCTCCTCCAGCGTGGCTAGTCCCCATATCCCTGGAAGCAAATAGGCTTATAATCTAGTGTAGGCCAGGGTCAGATTACTCAATGCACAAGGCAAAGCACAGGCTTACCCATGCTTCCTTGCTAATCCATTGCTTTCACCACATCACGGGTCTAGCTGGTACCCATCTCTCCCCCACCCCAATCCCACAGCACCTTCCTACAGAACCAACCCCCTCTTCAAGCGTCTCATCCTTGACAGTGATTGAATCGTCAGTGAACAAGATAAACACCACTAGCTTGTGCTCACTTACTAAACCGTAGGGCACCATTTCACTATAGATTAGCGAGTAAGCACAAGTAAAGTCCTGCTTACCTTGCTTCCTGGGTTATCACCCCTGGCCTGGGCCAATGGCTTTCTGCTCACGTACTGATGTTCTTGTCTTATTGCTTCCCTTAGATGCCATCCTTTCTCTCTCACCGCTGTTTCCAGCTTTGTCCTCCTGCTCCTTCCTACCCGGGGTAAAGTGTCACCTCTTCTGTGTTTTTTATATCTGACCTAATTCTTTCTGTTCGATTATGCTCATCAAACCCCTTCTCCTGAGTCCGCTCTGCATTTGGTCCTTTCCAGATAACCGAGAAGGGTACTGCTTCACGGAGGTGCTGCAAAACATGTGTCAGATCGGCTCCAGCAACCGGAACCCAGTCACCAAGTCTGAATGCTGCTGTGACGGCGGGAGAGGCTGGGGTTCACAGTGTGAGATCTGCCCCTTCCAGGGCACCGTGGCCTTCAAAAAACTTTGCCCCCACGGCCGCGGATTCATGACCAATGGAGCAGGTACTTTTCTATGCTCTGAATCTGTTCGTTGGGTGAGAAACTGATGAGAACATGGAATCTGCAACATGGGCCCAGGCTCCCGCACAGATAGATGAGACCAGCCACGCTGTTCACGCTGGCATTTTAGGCATTACCAAAAGCTCTTGGTCCAGCTGGGTGAATGGTGTGTGCTTGGGTCTCTGCAGCTACCTCACCAGGAGTCCCCACCTTTCTAAATGAAACTTCACCCTAGGTTAGCTGTTGGTCCCTTAGGACATGACTATTTGGGGATAAATCTCCAAATCAAGGCTCAGTACATTCCTAAACTAGTCCACAAGCACGTACTCTAGCTCATCGAGTTGGCTGAAGACACTGCATAAAAGAGAGATAAACAATGCTGATCTCCTGGAACTGAAGCGCGTCTGAAAAAGTACAGGATTGCTTTAACTAGACACGGATGAGGGACTCTTCAGGAATGCCTGAGGCAGATACGAAGACTCCGGTCCAGACCACTAACAATCCTCTTCCTACGCCTCTCAGCATTAACCATCCTGGTTTTTCAGTTTCCAAAAGGACTGGTAAAGGGAGGGAGACATCGTGAGCTCCTCCAGAGGGAGGTGGAGTGAGAGAAGGAGGTTCAGAAGATTTTTGGTCACATTACAAAGATGTGGCTGAAGGTGGAATAACTGACATAATGAAATCGTTGGACAGATGAGGTGGGCTGACCCAAAGCAATTTATGATTCTGGGGAGGACGTGAAGCTGGAGGGGGGACACATACCTTGAAACCCAAGCAGGGGTGCTGAGTCGCAGTCTTGAAAAGACCAGGTACACCCAGCTGTTAGCATGACTTGGCATTTAAGAGCTGATACCTCACACGAGAAGATCTTGTATTGGGACCCCCGACAACGAGAATGTAAAAAGATGGTTTCCGACCCAGAGGACATGGCCTTCATGCTAGACCGTGCGCACTAGCCCGGCATTTGACCCTGTGGCGGCACCATGAGTAGGGGTCTCTCGTCCTCCCCGGGCTGCACAAACCCAGCTCAGGGATCCAGCCCGATGCTTCTCTCTTTGAAGGAGGAAAGTTGATCTCCCAGCCTCGGCATGACACCGTTTAATGTGTTTCAGGCTTCACTTCAAGTGCAACAAAGCGAAGGTGGAAGCCTTTCCTTTACATTTTGAAACTGCATCTTAGAAACAACGGGGTTTCCTTGTCAAAAGGCCCATTGCTATGTGTGATTCCTTTCAAAGATGTTGCCGAAGACAAGTTTGAGGGCCTGGGAGGGATCAAGGAGCCAAACCTGTCCAGAGGGGAGGTGGTTCTGTGGACCTAGGAGGGCAGCACAACAGAAACTTAGATGACCGCTTGGGCTTAAAGCTTTCAGTTACTGATCCCTTCAGTGACTTGTGTATCACTGTTACCTATTAAAGTTAACCATTGGCTTTTCAATACGGTTCATCAATCCATGGAGAATGTATGCCTTCATCATTTTGGCTCATGATATAATAACACTTTTTATTAGCACTAGACTGAAGTGACCTGCCTTAATATTGTCCCTTGTTACTTTTTTTTACTTGTTAATTCGCAGATATCGATGAGTGCAAGGTTATCCACGATGTCTGCCGCAATGGGGAATGTGTCAATGACAGAGGGTCCTATCACTGCATTTGTAAGACCGGCTACACTCCTGACTTAACTGGGACTGCCTGTGTAGGTAAGTAAGGGCCTTGTTTCTGAAGAGTTAGGCCAGACTGGAAATTTTCTATTTTTTTTTTAGGGAGGTGGTGAGGGTGGGGGAAGTCAGATCTCCAAACTGAAAATCCTAACAGTGTGTGCCTCAATAGGAAAATGTCAGGTAGCGATCAAAGGTTAACCCATACATGGGGAATACACTTGAGTTTACCATTTCTTTTAAACTAAAAATCCTTGGTCGATCCTGTGAATGCTGAGCAAATAGACATCTGTGTCTCTTGGATCGTAGATCTGAACGAGTGCAGCCAGTCTCCCAAGCCCTGCAATTTTATCTGCAAAAACACCGAAGGAAGTTACCAGTGTTCGTGTCCGAAAGGCTACATCCTGCAGGACGATGGAAGGAGCTGCAAAGGTAAAGTGGACATGGCATGCGTGCACCTGGCCCCGGGCCGCACTACTGCTCTCTGGGCCTCAAGTACTTCATAGGCAAGCTGAGAGTCCTGTGCCGCATGCGCGCGCAAGAGGTACTTCTTTGGAGCTAGTGTCTCCCTCAGTCCTCCTAAATTGGATGGAGAGAGGTTGAGACCAGGGAAGTGTACTGAGGACCAGTGGCAGCAGCCATCCTTTGGAGCGCCACTTGAGCCTCGTGAGGCCCATTGGTGAGGGTCTCAGAGATGGCAGGGCCATTCTCCAGAGTGGGATGGCCACTTATTTGATTACCCCTCTCTGACTCACTCATTCTGTATTCTGCTTCTTCTTGCTGCCTGGATGTAGGCAATCAGTTCAACAACCACACAGAGCGCAGGTCTTGCCTCAGCCTAATTGATGGCATCATCCCCAGAGGACAGTGTGCCTCCTTAAACGCTGCACCCAAGCCTTTGCTCTGTAAAAGAGGGACACAGCAGGCCTCTGAGAGCTTACCTGAGAGATACGTGAATAAGCCAAAGAATTAAGAATGAATAAAACTCTGTATACAGAAATTTCTCCTTGACCAGAAGTCAGCTTTTGCATAGTTCTTTTGGGATAATTGTATTCTTTTAACAATGTTATGACATATAATTTGCATACCATGCAATTGAATGGTTTAAATATATTGAGTTGTGTATTCATCATCACAATTTCAGAACATTTCCCACCTGTATCCATTATTATTAACTCCGTTAGCCCAACCTTCCCTGCCATAATCCTAGGAAATGATTAGTTTACTTATTGTCTCTATAGATTTACCTATCCTGAATTTCATATAAAGAAACTCATACAGAAAAGATCCCCACAACAGCAAAGTTAAACACACAAAACCCCAAAGGAAAGCAGAAAATAATAAAAAGTAGAACAAGTTAGAAGTGAGTCAAAAGATGAAACTATTGGTAAAAGGTTAAATTTTAACATAACTATATCTGCAGTGATCCACTGTCCAGTGCACTCCATTGGAGAGCAAGACTCTTCCCTTCTTTGGGCGATGGGCCAAGGAATTCAATGGACACTTAACCCAGATGGGGCGCTGTAAATGGTTGTTGGCCTTTCACTGTCATCTACGCCCTTCTGCAAACCAAATGCTCAGATTTAAGCTCAGTTCAGCCATCCCAACCCTAACATGGATTTAGTTATTAATCTGTTGATCACATTGGTTAGTGTGCTGATCGATGCAGCCTCAGCTGACATTTCACCTAGATGGCTGCTTGTATTTTCCTCCTGTGGACGTTTTCCTCAACAGTATGAATCTCATATTGTATGAGTAAGACATGCAAGCCTACTTAAGGATACATCCTCCTTACGGATAATCCAGGGAATGAGAGGTTGGAGAAGGGAAGGTAGACTAGATGATAGAGCAAGAGTAAGAGTGTGTGTTAGACCAGGTCAACTGGAGAAACAAATCCAGGGACACTTGTGTATGTGTAAGAGATCTTTATATCAAGAAGTGATTATATATCAGGCAAACATCCCAGCCCAGTCCCTATCAAGTCCTTAAGCTTGATACTACCCCATAAGTCCAATACCAGCAGAATGCAGGAAGACTACAAGCCAGTGGGTGCAAAGTCTTGTGGATCCAATGGTGGTAGACACATCTCTAGGGCTCTGACTGCCATCAGCATGACTCCAATGGGCTAGAGAGGAAGGTGAAGCAGAGAGAGAGAGAGAGAGAGAGAGAGGCCGGCCTCCAGAGAGCTATTTATCTCGGTTGCCCTCCAATCAAACTGAGACCTGATTGACAGGTTAAACTCCACCCACATGTTCCTACGGGAGCCATGTTGGCACAAAAAATGTAAATTATCACAGAGTGCTTTGCAATGGAGCTTTGAAAAAAGAAAGTAAGGGAGGTGGAAGAACGGCATAGGGTGTTGTTGGAGAGTAAGTGGTAGGGTCCTGTCCCCCCTCTTTCCTGTGTTTGCTGCAAGAGCGTGAACAGGCTATGTGGAGTACAGGCTGACAAAATGCATGTCAGGCTTTTCTATGCAGAATCTTATCATTGAGAAGGAGTGGAGACGCCCACTCAAACATTCTGACCATTGTAAGTGAGATGTTAATGAAAGCTTTGATCTCCTTAAGCATGGAGCTTCCCTGCCTGTGTATCACAGTGAGTTGGGGGCAGTTGGAGAGTAAAACTCAGAGCCAGCATCTATCCCTGTGAACGCAGAGCTACATTGGGAAAGGGGCTGTGACTCAGAGTGTATACTGCCTGTGAGACACACACACACACAGACCATTTTGAGCTGGTGGAGAAAGAGGATCATCAAAACTTTCTAGCAATTAAGAGATGGACAAATGGAAACGAAGCGTAGTAGCCCTTGTGTTCTTTCACGCGCTAGAAAAGGCATCAACAATGCTCTCCTAATGGTCTCAGGAACGTAAAATATAACGGTGTGATTGTTCCAGAGCGATGGACGACACAGGTCCCTTTCTCTTCCTGAAGTCTGAATTCCCTCCTATGTTTGGCACAATGACTAAATATCAGAAATGAGTGGCACAGAACATATGTTGAAATGGAAAGGACTAGGAGGGAGACCTGTGGGAAGTGTCGGGCAGGCACATAGCCCCATGAGAAATGGGTAAGATCCAGATATGAGCAGGTAGGGAAAGACCAGGGGGACCTTCTTGGAGATGAGAACATCTAGTGTTGTTCCTAAAAAGGTGGTCTGGTGCCACAATTGCTTACACAGTGGGCTGCCTGCCAGTCACAAGGTTAGCGGTTCAAATCCACCAGCTGTTGCATGGGAATAAGATGAGACTTTCTGTTCCCATAAAGATTTACAGCCTCAGAAGCCCTGGGGAGCAGTTCACTGAGTCGGGATCAACTGGATGACAGTGGGCAGGTGGTTCCCTCACCTGTTTCCTGGTGAGCTCCATCGAGCATGCAGTGTTGCTCTTGCAAAGCCCTGTGGGGCATATAAAGGAAGGTGCCGTGCAGGCAGGAGGCCAAAAGTGATCAATATGCAGAAACAGCACCTCCTAGCCCTCTCAACCCAGCAGGCTAGCAAGTCCAAGCTCTGAGAAAGCTAAGCCAAGGTTCCCCATCCATCGGCCTCCATGGGTGGAAAGAGCGCAGGACTAGCTCCACGTTTAGAGAAAGTGGGCATTGGAAGAAATATGGACGGGGATGTTCTCTTAGTTTAGATCCACTCCAGCTGTTCCTCTAGCCAGGGAGCTGGCCCGGCGGAGTGGACACAGTGGTCCCTTTGCAAACCCAGGACTGGTCTGCAGCTCTGAGCATAGCTCTCCATGGCATGAGCGCAGCGGCTGCAGTTATGATAAAGGGATCGCACTCGAGAGAGGGTGCCCGAGTCACCGGAAGATGGGCTTTTGCTAAAGTGGAGCTAAATGCTAACAAATCTAATGTTCTTGGTCTGTTTACATAACGTTGGGATTGAAGGGTGAGCCTTGAACTTGAAGCAGTGAGGAAAGAGGCCTGTCCAGAAGAGAGGGTTTTATGGAGAGGTGGGAAATTAGGTCGGCCACATGTAGGGGCAGATTTTTTAAATGTTTAATAAATCATTTTATTGGAGGCTCTTACAGCTCTTAAAATAATTCGTACATCCATGTATCAAGCACATTTGTTAAAAAGGATGTTGCCATCATCCTTTTCAAAACATTTTCTTTCTACTTGGGCCCTTGGTATCAGCTCCTCATTTTTTCCCCCTCCATTCCCCACCCCCCCACAGGAACTCTTGGTAAATTATAAATTATTATTATTTTCATATCTTACACCATCTGCTGTCTTCCTCCACCCATGTTTCTGTTGTTCATCACCCTGGGGGTGGGGGTGGGGTGGCGCCGGGTGTTATACATCTATCATAGCAATCGGTTCCGAGGGGCAGATTGTTAAAGTGCCGTTAGCTTATGGGGAAAAGCTTTGTTTCCTTTCTGATTGCTCAGCTTTGTTTAATCCAAAGTTGAAACCCTGACTTTCGAAGAGGCCACACTCTTTGGCCAAGCTCATTTAGGCAGATTTTGTAAAAACGAACAGAACTAAGTGAGCAAATTAATTTCCAGGCTCGCTATTTCTGTTTACATTTCACCTTAATTAGATCACCTCAGTGCCCCAGACGGTTTTCAGACTCCTTAAGCTTTCTCTCCCTTTAATCTAGATTTCGCCATTTATTAAAATTCCTCTATCATCATCCTCTAAACTAAAAGGACATAGGTTTTCCTCAGATTCACCCAACAGCTGCCTCCTCCCACCCCACCCCACCCCACCAATTACATGAAAGCTGGATTGTCTCTCTCTAACCCTTTACCACTTGAGTTCTGCATAGCCAACCACTGCAGCGCTGATCTGACCAGGCTCACCTGAGAGGCAGAAATCAAGCCTCAGAACTGCCCGCTGAGACAGTTTCTCTGTATCTGTGTCGTCGTCCGTTCAAATCCGATGCCTTTTCTTACAGATCTTGATGAGTGTGCAACTAAGCAGCACAACTGCCAGTTCCTGTGTGTGAACACCATCGGCAGCTTCACGTGTAAATGCCCTCCGGGATTCACCCAGCACCACACCGCCTGCATCGGTACGTGAGATCAGGAAAGCCCTATGTGAAAGGTAGAGAGCAGAGATTACGTTTGTTTTGTGGTTTGGGGGGTTTTTGTGGGTTGTTTTTGTTTTTCATTTCCTTCTAATGTTGGAATAAAGGCAACTGGACCAAAAAATAGATGGACTTGTGTCGACTAGGATGGAGTGCTAGGATATCATGACCTTGACCTTCCCTGAATTACTGCAGTCCTTTCAGGGTTACCACATCTCACCAGGGACCATAAATGGTTGACATATAAGAAGAGTCGTTCCTCTCACAGTTGTGGAGCTTGACAGTCTGAAATCAGGGTCTCAACCACGTGGAGGCCTTTGGAAGATTCAGGGGGCATCTACTCCAGGCCCCTTTTCTTGCCTCTGATGGCAGCCGGCAGACTTTGGAGTTCTCTGACTTGCAGCAAGCTCCGCAGTTCCCATCACCCCAAGGCCATCTTCCCTCTGTGCTCCTCGTCCTGTCTGTTCTGACCCTCATAGGGGATTAGGATCCACTCCACTCTAGTATGACTTCGAGGTCTCATCCGCAGCTACCAGCGGTTAGGACTTCAAGGTGTCTTTTGGAGGACGCGATTAAATCCATGACAAATCTTTCGTCTTTCTTTTAAACAATACAGAAAGGTATTTTACCTCCCTCTCCCTACCTTCCCGATAGACAACAACGAGTGCACCTCCGACATCAACCTGTGTGGCTCTAAGGGGGTTTGCCAGAACACTCCTGGAAGCTTTACCTGTGAATGCCAACGGGGATTCTCCCTGGATCAGAGTGGAGCCAGCTGTGAAGGTAGGTTGGGCCCTCAGCTGTGATCAGCCTGTGGGTCTTAGAAGGAGGAAGGGGTTCTGGGTAGCTACCAGAGCCTTCTTTGCTGTCCTCTCTGGGCTACCAGAACTGAGCACTGCAGAGGATGGCAGCTCTAGTCTGGGGTGCACAGGCCCCACATCTTAGACACACATCTTTTGAACTCATGCCTGGTGATGTCATCTACACATGCCTTTCCCAAGTTCATCACTCCCTTTCCTGCTCGGTTATGCATTTAACCTCCTAGATGTTCTAAAAGAAAAATAAAAAGAGCCCCAAATTTGATTTGTGGCCATTGGAGAAGTAATTCTTGCAATAATATATCATTGTAAATTCATATCGTTATTCTTCTAGGATTTTATTTTTTGGATTGACATCCTTTTTATGGAAATTTCCCATGATTTGTTACCTCTGTTTCCATATACTTTATTTTAGCTTGTTTCATTCTCTTAATTTTGAAACAGCTTTATTGGCTTATAATTCCCATAGTCTATAATTCAATAGTTCACTAAAAAGAATTGTACAATTACCACCACAATCCATTTTGAAACATTTTCGTCTCTCTTGTACTTATTGTTATCATTTCTCCCCAACCTCCCCTGCCATACCCCCCCCCACAAGAAACCACTAATTCAGTTATTGTCTCTATTGATTTACCTATCCTGGGTTTCATATACAGAAAAACATACAAAAACAAAACAGCAACAAAACCAACACCCTTTTGCGCTATTCTCATGCAAATAAGCAAACAGGAGCAGTGGACAGAGCGGTTCCCTGGCAGATTGTGGGGCTTTGCTGTCCGTCCAGGTATCATGTTTATGTGTAGACCTTCCCAGGGTCACCTTCAACTTGTCAAATATCACAGAATAGCCATTCTTGAACTTTGAACTTTGGGGCAATAGGGTAATGGATGAGGGGTGAGATGGCTTATTCGCATCTCGGCCCATAAAAGGGGCGTCAGAGCGCGTCTGTGGGCTGCTCCTCTGGGACTGCCTCCCAGGTGGAGAGGATGTCGTGCTCCTGGCTCAGAGGGGCCTGGGGCTTCTTTTTCAGATGTGGACGAGTGTGAAGGAAACCACCGCTGCCAGCACGGCTGCCAGAACATCATCGGGGGATACAGGTGCAGCTGCCCCCAGGGCTACCTTCAGCACTACCAGTGGAACCAGTGTGTCGGCAAGTGGTTATCTTCCTCCCTCACAAGATGAATTGCTTTCAGCTGGGATGGGTCCGACTACTCCTTTCTTTCTGAAACCGTGTAAAAGTTGCTATCGAAGCAACCCACTCCCTAACACTTTAAATTGCCCGCACTAGGTTGAGACTAAAGGGAAGAAGTAGTCTTTTGCAAAAATAGCAAACTAAGGGGAAATGCACGATAAGGAGTCCTTTGCAAGCGTCTGAGATGAAATGGCTCTGGTATTTCTCGGTTCCTCCTGTCCTCTTTGACTCTTGCTGCATCGCCGGTTCTGTTCACAGCAAGGGCCAGTCAAATCTTCTGGCCTACATTTATCTGCCAGCCAGAGGCGATTTTAAGTGGACTTTTGGCCTGAAGAAGCAGAAGTTGTGCTGTTCAGCTCCACACATCTTAGGGGCAGAGGGCAAGAGGCAGACATGCCATTTGGTCAGGATGAATACATTCTTTTGATAACTCAAGGAGACCCACAGGCTTTTAAATGAACATCATGTCATCCTCGATGCAGTGATGTCCTGGAAAAGGAACATAGAATCATAACACGAGGGGCTTGGAGGGAACCCCAAGTCAGTGTCGTCCAAGCCCATGTTTTATGGACGACAATGCTGACGTATGTCCCCCGGGGTGGGAGAGGAGGGGCGGAATGGAAATCTTCATGTACCCAGTTATTGGGGGTATGCTTGGAGCGGGGAACCCGAGTCTCTGAACCTCCTGATTTGTAGGGTTGCTTTTCAACAGTCAGGTTCCCTCAGTGTGGAGCTCTGATGGCGTAGTGAGTTCTGAGTTGGGCTGCTAAGCACAAGGTTGGCAGTTCAAACCCACCAGCTGCTCCAAGGGAGAGAGATGAGGCTTTCTGTTCCCATAAAGGTTTACAGCTTCAGAGACCCACAGGAGCAGCTGTCCCCTGTCCCCTAGGGTCATTATGAGTCCGAGCCAACTTGAAGGTAGTGAGATTGGTGTTAGTTTCCTGTGAGCGCGGCGCTTGGGTCACCTATTTAGGCTAATACCTGTGAGCCCATCTTAGCAAACACACCAAGAAGAGCAGCTTCCTGGGTAGATATGCGTGATGGTGATGTCTCACTTTCCTCCAAAGGATGAAGACATGCACGGTGTGTTTGCATTTGTCAAAATTATGCCTCGTTCATCTGGTTTCTTCCTGTACAAGGTGTAGTTCTGCTGAGATCAACAGCCCTGGCTAGATGGCCCAATTCAGTAACTAGCCATCCGGATTTCATAAAAGGCCTTTGTCCACTGTCAGCTCAGACAGGTCTTTGACTTTCATACCCTAGTTCTGATACTCTTTGCTGAACTCTCAGGGTCATCTTTATGGAGTGAAAACCCAGCATCTGAGACTCTTCAACCTCACTATGTAGACCCCTTTAATAAAATGAGAGCTAGGGAGGAAAACAGCCCCCAGGGCCATGCTTTATCCCTCTCTTGGTACCCTCCCTCCTGGGATGGGTGGAGATGGCCAAGGTTGGGCCCTCATTTCCTAAAGATTCTGCTCCAGTGCCTTGAAGATCATCCCCAGACGAGTCGTTGCAGAAGAAGAAGTTGATTAAGAAGTCAAAAGCGGTTTGGGGATTCTCAGTGCCTAAAAGAGACTGGTCCCAACAAGCCTCTTTTCAAAAAGTGTGGTTACCCACAGTGAGCATTTCTTTGGCCCAGGGTGGCTTCTCCCAGACCCGTAGGGAGAAGAACAGCTGTTTAGGGCATCCCTGCCTGGATCCTCACTCGTAGGCAGGCAAAAGTTCACCCTTCCAAGCTGTATGGGTTTGGGTTTGGGTCAAGGCATGACTGAGTTCACTGTTTTTTAGAAAGCACCGGACATCCAGCTGGTCATTGGAGTCATCCCTTTGGGGCCTACAGAAGACTGGAATTCTCCTAGTGGGGTTCCCTTAACCAAACACACATGGTGCTAGGGTCTTTGACTTTCAATGACAGCGTTGGTAGGTTTCCATCTACTTTCCAGACGCGAATACTGTTTGTGTAAAATTAGAATGGTCTCCTTTTTGTGAAAAACACTAAGCTCCCCCCACGTGTCAACTAGAAAACCAAGTAGTGTAGAGGGTAGAAAATGGCTGGTGGAGCCATTGCTTCCAGTGTGCAGGCAATGAGAAAGGTCAGGCACAGGACAAAACATGTGGCATCCAGTTACTGTCTTTGACTATCGATCAAATAGATGAAGGCATAACTTCATGCTTTCTGAGCGGTAAACACTTTGTCTGTTCCCTAGTGTCCTGTCTGCTCCTCTGTGCTCCACTCATCGCACTTCTCCAACGCAGATAAACCAGTTCCACCAAAACTCTGTCCACTTCTTATGGCCAAGCGCAGTAGGCAGAGATGCACAGCACACAGCGGGCCGGTGCGCAGGCGCCAGATGCCGCAGATAGACCGCAGAGCCTTTCAGAAAGCAGACCCCACTTAAACTTCTTCCTTGATTAGTTTTCTCTTCTTGGCTAAAACAGATGCATAAAAGCGGGGTGCGGAAACTATTTTAAAAAATTAGAAAGCAGATGAGTAAAGGTGGTGGAGGGACAGGGCGCCTGCTGTTGTTTGTGTGAAGGAGCTTCACACGTCCGTCCGTGGGAAAACGGCACAGAAAGATAATAGCGTTTTCCTCTGAGCTTTTTGAAGCCTTGTGCTAGTTCATAGTCAGACCTTCTGTCTTTCACACTCCCTTCTTTCCCTCTGCCCCGCTCCCCCTTCCACCCCTGCCTCCTTCCTCCGGTGCATGGCTTTCCTATGGCTCTTGAAGGAAGCAGGAGGGGGCGTGCAGGAACAAGGCCATTGACGGAGCTGCCTGCTGTGGGTCAAGAGGCCAGCTGTGGCTCTGTGCATTTGACTTGCCTGCTTATGAGGATCTTTGGCATCTAAGAAATCTCAAGGCTCCATCCAAGGTCACTTAGGCTTGAGAGTTCCTTTAAAAAATAAATAAATAAAATAAGTCATGGGATCCGCCATTATCTGTGGCTCTTCACCCTTACTTTAACTTAGGGGTGAGAACTGTGATGGAGCCCAAGGGAGAGTGCAGATACCAATGCTGTCCATCAGTGCAGGGCCAGGTGAGGCCTGAGGGTGTTCATCCTGCTGGAGGGAAGACCCTGTGCAGGAGGGCCCCTCCTGGCCTCCACGTCTACTCTCCACCCCTTTTCCACAAGCTCCCTGGAGGTTGATTTTTATAAGTTAGATCTCCTTTTCCTGCGATTATTTTCATACTTGTCAGACCCTGATGGATAGCCTGTTTGCCTGGCTGGCTCTCTCTCCCATGCCTGCCCCTCTTTCTCCCTCTCTTTGTCTCTCCCTCCCTCGCTCCCTCACTCTCTCTATTGCTCTCACGCAGGCTGGGTCACCCCCCACCACCCCCCAAGTGATTGTCCATGAAGTCTGTATCGGTCTCTTACAGCCACACCAAGCTTTAAAGAGACTCCAGGTGCTCTGGGCAGCGGGCTGGTTTGGATGAGGCGG